CAGCGTCTCGGTGATCGTCTTCATGTAGTTGTTCGAGAAGTGCACGCCATTGTCCGATATGATTCGTTGCGGAGCTCCGTGCACGAGGATAAATTTCTCCAATAGCACGGTGGCAGCAGAGTTGGCAGTGCAATCTGGCAGGGCCTCGGCGATGACGTACTTTGATAGCTTGTCTGTGAGGACAAGAACGTATCGGTTGCCGTCGTCTGTTGTTGGTGTCGGGCCCCAAAAGTCCATATGAATGACTTGGAAGGCATTGTCGGGTGGCTCGATGTGCTTCAAGTGGCCTGGAGCCTTGGTGCGGAGAATGTTGATCAACAGAAAAGCCTATTAATACGTAGATATCGGCATATTTTTTCTCTTTCCACGGAATTTTTGCTTTCCTACCGTCATTCCTTTAATTTCTTCCGACGGTGCTTGCGGACAGCGTCTCAACCTTAGCTTGCAGTTTATTGTCCTCTTTCGCCTTTTTTTGTGGTTAATCTATGTTGAATGTATCGCGACTCGATCAGCTTAGATATCGAGATGTCTTTAATTTGCAAATAAACAAATATTATTGAACTTTTATTAGAAGCTCTAAAATGTACAGTTATATACGCTGTCGTAAATAACTACAGCCGTTATTTACTACACCGTACCTTAATACCAACAGTTACATTTACAGCATTTCGTAGATTCGAGAAGGAAGCAGCATTTTCGAGAAGGAAGATGAATGCGAGTGGATATATGAAAATGATGCACCAAGTCTAAGACATCGTCGTAGTTTATACACGTTTCAGTGTAAATGCGTCAAGCTTTCTTCGTGAACTCTGTATTCGGTTGTTGAATATCCCCTAGTGTTGGTGACGCGATCAATAGCAATATTCTTAGTTACTATACAAAAAAAACAGAATGCAGACATTCTGAAATTCTTGAAATTCTACGTCTTTTGACATTCAGAGAAACGAATCTGGTATCGCCGATAGTATGAAATTCTCAGTGGCGTAGAATTCCAAGAATTTGATACTTTGACTGCTAATACAGTATAATGATAATTTGACAGCTCTTAGACAGTTTTTAGACTTTCATATTTATTACGCTTTTCGATTGATCAGGCTTTTAGACTTGTTAGACTCTTGGACTTTTGGACTAATTGTTACTCCGTTTATCCACCCATATTATTTCATAGAACATGACAATTTAATCAAGAAATCGTCAGAGGATTTTGCATTCTCCCATAGTATCAAATGTGCCAGTTTTCAGGTACGTGTCCAACAGAAGTATGATCTTATTAGAACTCCTTTGAATAATTATTTCGGACCCCGCAATACGCCTTTTGCAACCGCCTCAGTTCCGTTGATAAAGATGAAGTGGGTCCATGATATCACGCATATTGCTACCCACAAGCGTCTCTTCGTTGTTTACTCGCATTCGAACTAGAATGTATATTCGTCTACAACATATTAAATGGCAAACAAGATTGTCTCTTGGATGAGTAATTTATCATAAACGCTTCGAAAGTGAGTTGTTGAGCACATTCTTGGGGACGCATCTAGATTACTACTGTAGTCGATGCTTCATGTTTGCTTCAGACTAATGTTGATTCGACTTCTCGTCCACAAAGTGTTAGATTTCAATATTATTGCAATTCCATTTGGGACTTGAATTATGGATTCGATGAAACAACACGTTACTGTCGAGAGTGGAAATGCCCTCCTCGTCGTAGTGCATGAGTGGACACTGCATTCCTGCAGACTGGTTGTGTAATGGAGTATGGAACTGTCCAGATGCATCGGATGAAGAAGCCATTTTGTCAACATCACATTTATCTGAGCATAACGCTCAAATGATTTCAGCTTTGGACGCGCAAAAATCAGTATGTCCAGAGAGCAACCGCATTCTACCGTTCACGAATTTGTGCAATGCTAATCATCATTAGTCAAATTCCAAACACATTAGCTATCAAAAGCGATAATTTAAACTTTTAGTTCGAGCAACATGATATTTTTTGTTTTCTTTAGTTTTGCTTTTGTTTCTCTCATTATATCGCAAAAAAACTTAAAAATGGGTTTGTCCCATCATGTCAAACAGAATTAAAAAACTACAAAGATATTTCGTTGTTTGCTTGTTTTCTTCGTTCAATTGTTCCTTCTTTCTCGTCTGGCCTTTCCTATGAAAAAAAAGAATACTTTCTATCCTGTGAGTTGATTAAAGTTTCGAGCTTTCTTTTTCTTGGTGTATTTCGTTCATATGTTTTCTAACAAAAAAATCTTCTTCTGTTCCTGTATACATTAGAAAATTAGATGCTAGCTTCACGCCACACTAGCTCATGTCCGGCTACCCCAGCCAAAGTTGCCCACTGTGTGGCGGCCCCTTAAGAAGCTCAAAATGAAATTAAAAGAAGCCCGCTGTCGGCTTCGCCTTGAAATTCTGCATATACCATCTTAGTGTCAGCAAGTTTGGTGCGGCGCGGATCTTGCACCTAATTTTCTAATGATTACGCAGATAAATTCTGCTTCACTTACTCTCTCTACTTAAGGAGAGCTCTACGTTCTGGGAGGGATAAATGACACCTAAATAGTCGGCAAATACCATTAAAAATTCACGATTTCAGTCCAAAAAGCTTTTGGCTCTGGAGGCCCGCTCTCCTGGAGAACCATATCTCCAAATCGCTTGAAAGGGAAACAACTATAATATTCGGGATCAGTTCATCGATTACGTATATCCCCTGGAAATAAATGTATTCAGTCGATTTTTTAAATTTATTATATATATAGAAATATATTTTCCGAAAAGTAATTATACATTCTAGTAGCGCTTGAAATTCTCTATTAGTCTCTGTTTTTCCAGCCCGGCTGCGAAATTACTTACTAGCAAAAATTTTGAATATTATCAATACCCCCACCTATCACATTCTCAGGAATTGTAACGGGTACGGCCTCTCAATATTTTCTACTTTTCCCATTCTTTAGGACCCAAACGTTAATGTTTTTCCTAAAAAGATGCACCTCGAAATACTCTACAAAACCATACCTAAAGTTTAATTTCAGAACGTCAATCAAGAAAACTAAGCAGATTATACGAAAGACGAAAAAAATGAAAACTTTAAAAATCTGGCATTTTTTCCACAAGGGTTCCAAAAGTGAGAACTCAGTTCTTTTTGTACTTTTGAACGTGTTCTTTCTCTTGGTCTGTAAAAAAAGAAGAGTTAGTTGAAGAAGCATGGAATGCAATCCATGGGAATATGACACGTGGGTACATTAACAATATTCAAAATATTTGTCAAATAATTGCAAGCCAAGGCCGGCAAAGTACAGCCTGATAGAGAATTTCAAGCGCTATCAGAATATATAATTGCCTCTCTAAATACGTACTTTTGTACCCATAATAAATAAAAAATACGATTGAAAAAAATCAAAAAAAATGCATTTTGTGCGAATATGAGGATGAGGGTGTATTTCAACAATCTTCGAAATATTTTTCAGCAAATGACAGAAAGCCAGAGACTCTCATGTACAGGGTGATACAGAATTCCAAGCGCTTTCAGAATATATAATTGCTTTTCGAAAAATATATTTGTATATATATAGTAAATTTAAAAAATCGACTGAAAATATTTATTTCCAGGGGGATACCCAGTCAGTCACCTATACCTTTTGAAAATTCGTCTTAACGCGGTTCTAGCATTCATAGAGCGTGAGAATGTACAGTTTCACCATGAATACGACGACTTTCTTGAGCTTCAAATATACGCGTTAATCGAAGCCGCGTTTTTGCCATCAATAATTCGCGAGAAACGCGTTTATGACCATCATAACTTTCTAAAAACGCGTTTTCAGTCGCAATAGACTTTAAGATTCGCGAACGGCACCGAATTTTTCGTGTTTAGAACTCAATTGAAACGAATTTAACGCGTTTTGGCTAGAATGAAATTTGAAAAAAGGGTTTCACTTTTTCAAAATTTATGAGATCGTTTCTTTTAAACGTAAAACTCGTTTTATAGACTGAAGTCGCGAAATCAGGCGTTCTATATCAAATAAGTGAGTGAAAAACGCGTTTTGAACGCAAATTTTCACTTTGTATAGCGTTTTGTGTTCTGTACTTGTGGAAAGTTGCGTTTCGAGTTTGAATAACTTTAATTTCTCGCGTTTATAAAAAGAAGATTTCGTTTTCATCGTCACCGTGTACTGAAACGCAATAAATTCCTTATGTTTTTGTAGGAATTGCGATTTTCGTTTTCGGCACACTGATTCTCGCGTTTGAATGAAGTAACATTCGTTTCTGTCGTTTTTTTGAGACGCGACTCGAAATTCTTGCGAGTCATATATATTCTCAGTCAAAAACAGATACTTATTTCGGTTTAGAAACATTTTGAAGAATTTTTGAGACTGCCATTGGATTTCTCGCAAAAAGTTGCTTCGCGAAACTTAGCCTTTAACTATATCAGATATACTATGGGGACTTGGGTTTTTTTCTATATCAGCTTCGTTTAGTGCGACTATATCATCAATGCAATGCGAGATTGGCTCAAGAACCGCGAAAAAACGAATTTTCTAAAAAAAAGCGCGAAAAGCGAGTTTAACTTCAAAGTATAGCGCTAAACTCTGTTTACGAAACATTTTAAAACAGATTTTCGTAGAGTTTCGCGTGATATTTTGCAGCTAATCTCGCGTTAAAACGAATTTTCAAAAGATAAAGGTGACTGGCTGGGTAGTCATATCGGGTAGCGCAGACAAAATCGGACACTTTTGTTCGTTGTTTCTGAGGCCCTACCCAGTGGTCTAAAGAGTTCGTTTTAAGCTCAACAGATCGAGAATGGAATTCTCTACAAAACCTGCTATTTGAATCTCCGATAGCATTTTTGTCGTTTCAGCGCTATTCAGCATAACGAAGAGTGCTGAGTTATCGAACTTCGACATACTGAGAATAGAAAAATATTTGCCTTGAAAATCATATTGTACTACTCGTCCTTCGCTACTCCTCAGTGCTGAAAGCGTCAGTACCGAATACCAGTGCACCAAAAAGCCTTATAAACTGTGACTAACTACTAATATATTAGTCGCAAAGTACCTATCACATACCCGGCAAACGATTTAACATTGACCGTAAGAGCACTTTGGTATACCATTCGCTGGCGAACATATATGGCCACAAGTACCACAGTTATTGACATCTGTTTGTATATTAGTCTCACAGCCATTACTTACATTTCTATCACAATCACCAAATCCCGCATCACATGTTTTATTCAAACATATACCGGAGCAACACTGTGCTGTATTGTTATCGGCTGTACATTGTTTAAAACAAAAGCCGCAGTTATTGACATCTGTTTGTACATTAGTCTCACAGCCATTGCTTGCAATTCCATCACAATCACCAAATCCCGCATCACATGTTTGAACTTGACATGTACCGGAAGAGCATCCTGGTTTGCCATTCGCTGGTGAACATTTTTTGCAACAAGCGCCGCAGTTATTGACATCTGTTTGTATGTTAGTCTCACAGCCATTACTTACATTTCTATCACAATCACCAAATCCCGCATCACATGTTTGAATTTGACATGTACCGAAAGAGCATCCTGGTTTGCCATTCGCTGGCGAACATTTATTGCCACAAGCGCCGCAGTTATTGACATCTGTTTGTATATTAGTATCGCGTCCGTCGGTTGAACTGTTATTGCAGTCTCGTCGACTATCTATAAAAAAAAGTTTCTAAAGTAAACGTTTTTCTTGCCAGAATACTATTTTAGGTACTATAAATGAAAAACAATCATTTCTGATGATAAAATGGTTGATGCCCACCTTCGGTGTTACACCTTGATAAGCAATGATTTTTTGTAAGTACCATGCTCATGCAAAAATAAAGTTCCTTCATTCATTCATGTACCTACTGAAGAGAGTCCACTGTGAACCGGTGAGTCAGTATTTTACCTCTGGCATCTCAAATTTCTGTTTCTTTCTTTTTTCTCATGACCGATCCATTTTTCGTTTTCTTGCAGAAAGTGCTTACATTAAATCTTGCACGATATCTGTATGAGAGTTGGCCAGTTTTCTGACAAACCTGGGGAAGAACCAAGGCTTTTGTTGATAAATTGTATTTAAAACTGGACATACACTCTGTTTCACACTCCAGAGGAAAAACCAGAGTGTACAGTTTACGGTTTGAAATTCATGTTTGTAGCGTTTCTTTTTGCAAGATTTTGCCTACTTTGTGAAAAAAGCATTTTTTGTCTGCAGCTTATCCACTGATATTTATTTGCTGCTCAATTGGAAGTAGGATAGAAGAAGAAAGAGGCATATCTTGCAGAATGAAAAGAAAAGTACACCGGAACGCCCATCCTAACTTCCCAAGTAAATAACTTAATTTCTTATAAAAGTTTATTGTATAAAACAAAACAAACTGATAACAGACTGTACAGACACACACGTATATACACTACAAAGTTACATCATCTGAGGCTATTCCGGATTATTGCATCACCCCTTAGAATGTTCCGGAATGTCGCATCATGCTCCGCGAACAGTATGACCTAAAAGAATTTTGGGCGAAATCTCAGAAAGCTGTCTAAAACGTTACTCAAAATACTTGGTTCACCGCATTACTTTCTACTAGATATAAAGCCGCAAATGCCTGTTCCTTTTCGCATTTTAGAAACGATCTGTTTGTACAGTAACACCGATTCTACTTTGTTTTCAAAACTGTAAGGTCAGCGATCTGTGAACAATCACATTAGTAGATTGTAAGGACAAGCTCTGCATTCTTCTTCTTATAGAGCAGCATGGGGTGAAAAGAAACATCCTTTGGAATTATTTCAGTATTTTAACAAGCTCTAAGTAAATCTCTTGTGATTAATCACTAACCGTCCCACTAGTGAAATTCGAAAAACATTTCTGTCGTTGTCTGAACTAATTTCTCCTTCTCAAATAAAGCAACATCAAATCGATCCGATAGCATTTTCTTAAGACATATAAGTTGTACTGGAAGTTTCAGCATTCCAACGAGTGAAAAAAATGTGTCTTCATGAGTATACCAGATTAGAACAATAGTTCAAGTAGCAGAAGAGATTATCAAAAAAAAAGACCTTTCACGAAGTATTTGTCAGCCCACTGATTGAAAACGGTTTCAGACTTGTTGAAAAGCTGAAGCTTCCCGTAAAACTTATATATCTTCAGGAAATGTTATCCTAGAGTCACACTTCAAAGTCAAAGTCAAGTTTATTTAGTCCATGATCTTAAAGACTGACAAGGTGGTGATAAAAAGTTTAACAAAGAACTTTGGCCAAATCACCCCACTACTATGTTGTCCGGATGCACCTTTTACGGAAAATAGAGATGGCTGCTGAAAACATGTTATATAGATAGATTTCTTCTTCTGGACACGAGCTGAAGGAGAAGAGTCGTTTTAATTTTTGTCACTTAGGAGCCTGCTTGACTGGAAGTCTACAGTGATATAACAATTTTAGCCGTGTCCATCTCCATCTGACTATTTCAACCTTTCACACCCACTTCAGATTTGCTAATCCTGAACGAATATAGTAAAATCAAAACAGGATAAACGATAAATGGCAAGGATGGAATCTCGAAAACCGATAGAAGGGAGGTCTGAGCTGCAGAATCTCCTAAGCCAAACTTTCCTTGTACGTGCAGTATCAGAAAAACAATGTCTAAGTTTTCAAAGCTAAGTAGCCTGGCGGGGAAACTGATTTTTTTTCCTTTCCAGAGCGCATATCCCAGACCCACCACTATAAATACGTTTATCAATTAGTGGTAAACCAGTTCGATGTGTTATCATCGTTCGACAGGTATTCTTACATGTTTACTAAAGTTGTTTTGACTCTGGTGGAGTGAGAGATATGAAGTTGAATATATCCTATGTGCATGATTATGTACTGTAAACATATGCAGATAATTTTTGCTCCCAGGTATGCATGGTATTGGAGATCGTATTTTGAGTAGGCAGGCATTTACCGGTTCTGAGTAGAACCGGTATCGATTCTATCCGCTTAGACTGGAACCGGAACCGATGAAAACTGCTGTCGGTTAGAATCGGAACCGAAGAGAGCCGAATCAAAATACGTAACAAAATAGTAGATAATGTGAAAACTGTTTGATTATTTATAGTACTATCCATCCCAAAATACAAGACCCGTGGGCATTTTTTGAATAACTTTTTGCTTCCGCTTGTGAAAAGTTCTGCTCAAGTCTTGGCTATTAAACAGCGAAAATCGCAGGTCTCTATCCCCTTCCTATCAAAAATTATTCAAAAAATACCCACGGGTCTTGTATTTTGGGATGGATAGTAGAAAGATCGTTTTCTACTTGATATGTTATATATATTTTCCTGTCACAAGAGAGGTTCGCTAACTGCCCCGCGCCAATTTTGTGTAAAAGTTTGTAGGTAGGGTACTTTAATACACTGATTTCAAAAAGGATCAAAAAGGAACGCTATTTCTGTCGATGAACCAAGATTCAGGAACTTTTCAGAGTCCAAAGTCGAAAACACTGCCTTAAATATTGCTGGCTTCGTTTTCGTATGCTATGGTAAAATGAGTTCGACATTGTTTTCTTTTAAGGAAGAAGTGTAGTTTCATCGACTGACGAAGACCGAGCTTTTTATTTTTGCTTGATTTTGTTTAGAATGCTTCTTCTTTCGAATAAAACAACTTCGAACTCATTTTGTTAGAAAATATAGGTTCTCGTCGGCTACGGTTAACCGGAACTGGTGAAAAATTTTGAGGGATCTTTAAATTTTTCGGAATGGCTATTGACACCACTAAGAGGTGTCAGCAAGAGCTATTGACACCACCAGGGGTGTCAGCAAGAGCTATTGACACCTACTGGAGGTGTCAGCAAGGGCTACTGACATCTCCAAATAGTATGTAGACTGTGCGAAAAGTGTATTTTCTTTTACAAGCAAATTTAAAATTACAATTGTAAAATCGGGCGAAAGTGTACCTTACTGGTGCTAGCTTTATTTCATGCACTGGAGGTTGGTGGTGTCAATAGCCCTTCGTGACACCTCGGATGGTGGTGTCAATAGCTACTGCTGACACCTCCAGTAGGTGTCAATAGCTCTTGCTGACACCCCCGGTGGTGTCAATAGCCGTTGTTGACACGTCTTAGTGGTGTCAATAGACTCACCCTAAATTTTTTTTACGAAATATTCAATTTCTAATTAGGGCAGCTAGCTTGCTACTGATGCGCACGGGTATGTTACACGAACATTAGCTATACTGTTCAGACTTTTTCCCAAGCATAAGTTCTGTTTCTTTAGCGCAGGGTAGATGCATCTTGAAATAGATGAATTCTACATGCCACCAGTTCATTTGCGGAACAGAACATATAGTTTTTAAGTTTTTACGAATATTTACAAGTGCGTTTCTTTTGCATTCCTGGATGATTGAATCATTAGCTCATCTTTATTTTTTTTTTATTAGATTATCGTCTATCTGAAACGGGTAATGTTTCCGCTACTTTTTGTATTTACAGTTATTATCACACAAAATACACTTACTTGCAACACATTTGCACCCTTTTCGACAACAAATACGACCATCTTTACGACGAGTAGTATTATTACTGTTTATCATTGTTAAACAAGTATTATTCTTATACCGTGGACAAGACGGACGCCCAGTATTTGCTGCATATAGTATTGTACAAAAAAATATAAAAATACTGAGATTCATATTGAGCAGAAGAACAGTATTAACACTATTTCTCAATTTGGCGACTAATACTTTTACATATTCATATTACATACCGCATATGTGACAATGTGTTTTCTAGCTTTTGTATGAAATGTATTCAAGATTTAATCAATATCATTTAATAGCAAAATAATTTTTTATCACAGAATAAATCGCGCATGCGTGATCAAATAAAATCTGTCTCTCAAATAAAACAATATCAATCGATGATTATAAAAAATGTTTGTTTCATCCTTTCCTTACTAGTCTAGCGTCAAATAGATAATTTTAGTTCGAATCAACAAATTAGTTCCATTTTATTAAATTCACAAATTCATACGTAACTTAAAATGTCGAAAATGTGTAAATAAAAAGTGTCGTAAAATAAAAATGAGCACAATGAGTGAATATCTTAAAAGAAGTGTTGTGATAGCAAACAGAAAGTAGTGCTTTCTGTTTTTGAAGAAAGTTATTGGATCATAGATATTGTTCGGCACATTTATAAACAATAAGATTGCCTATTAATGCCTCTTCCATAATATCGACATACGTTTGGACATATTCCAATAGTTCTCCACTCATTACTGGCGGCACATATGAGCCACTGCACTCATCAAATACCCATCGAACGACGGAGACGTTGACGTTCTAAATGAACATAATTACATTTGGTCTATTATGACTTTTCTGTGAAGAACGAAAGATCAAA